CATGACAACCTGTGCAGCCCATGTATTGATTCCATCCGATAGCTGCTATAATAACAAACGTCTGCCTGCTCTCCACAATGATCAATAACAGCGAACGGATGGTCAAAGTAAGGTACAAATAAACAGAACCACACGAAGCCTGGTTAGTGTTGCCTGACTTTATAAAGTGTGTTTTTTTTAACAAGTGTGTGGTTGCGTTCTAGTCACTTTGCTCAGTACTGCTTGTTACAACTTTTATTTGCCGTACTCGCCTTAAGTGTTAGCTCAGGTTAATCTCGCCCCCCTCCGACGTAAGCGTGACGTATGCGGTTCTTGCTTCTAGACGGACAACTTTTTGTTGCTCGAAACGAACCGGATTCCGGAGCTATGACGCTGCTCCGCTGCGGTGTGAACAGGAAAACCCGGTGCTTTTCAAGCACCAGCACCGAACCGGCCCTGAAACACCGTTGGTGTGAAAGGGGTATTAGTGTCAGTGAGGAACCAGTGTAAAGACTTCAGAACAGGACTGATCCTCTTTCTTATTTTTAATTTTTGAATTAAAATGATCTACTAGCTCATTTACTGAGATGCTAGCAGGGGCAAGTGTGGAAGAAAAATTCTGAGTAAACATTTCCCTAGTGTTTTCAGTTAAATATCGCTTTGTGGTTACCTCTTTCTGAACATTTGTAATGTAATATCCAGCCATGCAGTGGGGTGGATTGTGAACTACCTCGCTGAAAGGTCCCAATGTGTTCAATTTGATGGGTTCTCTTCTGAGTGGTTAAACATTACTAATGGACCATTAGTAATGTTTAACCACTCAGAAGAGCTAAGACCACAGACCCAGACTCATCCGACGCCACTCCACCTCCACCTAAGCAACAGCTGCTGGATTTTAACCGAGGGACTGCTAGCCAGGGAAAAGTTGATAAAGCCATTGCACGGTATGTTGTAGAACACATGCAGGCTATTTCTACAGTGGAGTCACCCGCTTTCAGGGAGCTAGTTATGGTGCTCATTCTACCTCGTGTGTGTGTGTGTGTGTGTATGTGTGTGTTTACTGGTTTTCAGTAACCAGCACAACACTGCTAATGGTGTACCACAAGGTTCTGTTTTAGGTCCACTTTTATTCTCCATCTATATCAACAGTTTAGGTGAAAATGTGGATGGAGCATATATATATATATATATATATATATATATAGATAGATCATATATCAATGTGATCACAGTGATGCTGATGAAGGAACAGACTCCTGGGGGAGGGTCCTCACCTGCTGAACTCTCTTCAGGTCCACAGAAACCCTGCTGATCTCGTCCTCCTCAGTCCTGGTTCTGCCTGCTATTCCCTTATATCTCCTTTTATTCAACAGTTTGAACACCAACTGTTTCAGATGTGACTCACGTGAAAGGTGAACTCTACTTTACTTCCGCTCTGAGTCGCAGAGGAAAGGGTTGGGTTGGGTTGGGGGGGGGGGGGCGGAGTTTGAAGTGTTGAAATATTTTTCCACCCACGGGGAACCTGTAGAAGGAGAGAAACTTATATCATGAGAGAGAGGTCTGTCTTTGTCTTTACCACTGACTATCATAATGTCTGTTTTGTTCACCCACATGCTTTTGCTGATACATACTCTGTTTCTAAACTGAGTTGTTCTCAGGACCGCGAAGATTTTCAGTGTCCAAACAATTCAGAGTGACTGAGCCCAGTCAGTGTGAGAGGGGGTGTAGTTCTGCTAGCTGTCCACTAGATGCTGCTAACTGACCCTCTAATGAAACACAGGTCAGGGTGAATGGTCAGTGTGAGAGGGGGTGTAGTTCTGCTAGCTGTCCACTAGGTGCTGCTAACTGACCCTCTAATGAAACACAGATCAGGGTGAATGGTCAGTGTGAGAGGGGGTGTAGTTCTGCTAGCTGTCCACTAGATGCTGCTAACTGACCCTCTGATGAAACACAGGTCAGGGTGAATGGTCAGTGTGAGAGGGGGTGTAGTTCTGCTAGCTGTCCACTAGGTGCTGCTAACTGACCCTCTAATGAAACACAGGTCAGGGTGAATGGTCAGTGTGAGAGGGGGTGTAGTTCTGCTAGCTGTCCACTAGGTGCTGCTAACTGACCCTCTGATGAAACACAGGTCAGGGTGAATGGTCAGTGTGAGAAGAGGTGTAGTTCTGCTAGCTGTCCACTAGATGCTGCTAACTGACCCTCTAATGAAACACAGGTCAGGGTGAATGGTCAGTGTGAGAGGGGGTGTAGTTCTGCTAGCTGTCCACTAGATGCTGCTAACTGACCCTCTGATGAAACACAGGTCAGGGTGAATGGTCAGTGTGAGAGGGGGTGTAGTTCTGCTAGCTGTCCACTAGGTGCTGCTAACTGACCCTCTAATGAAACACAGATCAGGGTGAATGGTCAGTGTGAGAGGGGGTGTAGTTCTGCTAGCTGTCCACTAGGTGCTGCTAACTGACCCTCTAATGAAACACAGATCAGGGTGAATGGTCAGTGTGAGAGGGGGTGTAGTTCTGCTAGCTGTCCACTAGGTGCTGCTAACTGACCCTCTAATGAAACACAGGTCAGGGTGAATGGTCAGTGTGAGAGGGGGTGTAGTTCTGCTAGCTGTCCACTAGGTGCTGCTAACTGACCCTCTAATGAAACACAGGTCAGGGTGAATGGTCAGTGTGAGAGGGGGTGTAGTTCTGCTAGCTGTCCACTAGATGCTGCTAACTGACCCTCTGATGAAACACAGGTCAGGTGTGAGGAAGAGGAGATGAAGCCACGTGTGAAACATTCAGGCCTAATAGGGAATGGGAATGTGACGTCATCAACGGCAAGTCTTCCATCTTTGGAGGATAGCAGCGACCGCAACCTGTTACCTTCACCTGTACATAATAATACAAACAAATCTTCCAACACTAAAATCATTGCAAATGGACGAGGACTGAAACTAAGAGCCTGATGCTTGAGATCTGAGACTGTGTGAAGGGACCAGCCACCATGAGCCTTTCCCTTTGGTTCCTCAGCTATGAGGGGAATAGACTCTCTGGTGAGACTGCTGTGTGAAGGCCTTGATCTGAGTTCAATGCAACGCTCCATCAACACCTGCAATTATTGATCACTATAATGTCTGTCATTATTGATCTGGATTCAATTTGATTGAGAAACTCCCTCTGGAGCAGGGGTGGGCAATTATTTTTTCCATGGGGCCACATGAGAAACTGAAAATATTGTGGAGGGCCGGGCCAAAAGGCTGAACTCAATTCTGCATAATATTAATTGTATTTCTTTATAAAAAGCAGTAAATAGCATTGTTTTGACAAGCTGGTAAGAGTATATGTTATAGTTAAGCAATGAAAAAGTGAGGTTGCCTTACAAAAAAATGTCATTTATTAAATCAAATTTCCCAAAACAATGGTAAACAAAATGAACGTTTTTCACCATTTGTGACTCATTAGTGAACATTTTCAGTCACATTCACTCAAACACATTTTGAGTTTCATTTACTGTTGGAAAGAGGTTCTTAGCATTCTAAAGACATCACAATATTGTCTTTGTACTCCAAATATTAAGCAAGATACATCATATTGAACTGTCACTAAACATCACTGAACTGTGATTTTGAGAAAAAGGCTTCCAAAGAAAGTGTCCCAGTTCACTGCTAGTTGGTGCCTTTACATGCCAACACCTCATTTGGTGTTTTTAAGTTCTCTTTTCTTGTTCAGTGAGAGAAATCTAGTCTCTGCTGGGCTTTAACGAGTGCATCAAAGTCAGGTTGAATGTCTGAGGTGGAGATGCGAAGCACAGCTGACAGATGATCATCAGTGAGAGAGGATCTATACCTGGATTTCGTAAACTTCATAATTGAAAATGTTTGTTCACATATGTATGCGTGTCCATGCACTCGTTTACCTCCGTGAACAGATCGCTCCCTGTCGTCGTCCCTTTCATCGACCGCATTGCTGCCAGCTCCTCCGTAATCTTGAAGTCCGGTGTTATCCCGCGGACGAATATGAGTAACTGGGCTGTGTCGCGGACATCACAGCTCTCGTCCAAAGCCAAGGAGAAAAAGTCGTAACTTGCCACTTCACGTTGCAGCTGAAGCTCCAGATTCCCCGCAATGTCCTCGATCCTTCTAGTCACGGTTCGCCTGGACGCGGGACTTGCTCAAATGCGGCTTTTTTTTCAGGGCATATTAGTGCTGCAGAGTCCACCAAGCACTCTTTGACAAACTCCCCCTCCGAGAATGGCTTACTGTTTTTAGCAATTTTGTGGGATATCACAAAGCTGGTCATGGTTGCTGCATCACTGGATGTGTGAAGCTTGGTAAAAAAGCCTTGCTGCTTTTGCAGCTTAGCTAGCAAAGCTTCCGATGTCCGCGCCCTTTCAGCGTCAGTCAAGTTTTTATATTTCTCCGCGTGTTTCGTCTCGTAATGTCGACTCACATTGTACTCCTTAAACACGGCGATCTGCTCCCCGCAAACTAAACACACGGTTTTACCTCCGACTTCAGTAAATAAATACTTAGCAGTCCAATTTTTGTTGAAAACCCTGCATTCAGCATCTACCTTTCTTTTTTTAGCGGACATTTTTTTGAGGGCTAAAGTCGTCTTGTGACAAGGATCCAATCATGTGCACGTCTTGATATACGTATTGCGTCATTATGCACGTGAATAAAAAACAACTTCAAAATAAAAGCAATGCAGCTTTAGTCCATGCATGAGGTAAAGTTAGAAAATATGTTTATTTTGTAATTTCCAATTAGCCTTACACGGGCCGGTCAGAGTCAACCAAAGGGCCGTATGTGGCCCGGGGGCCGTACGATGCCCAGGTCTGCTCTGGAGAACACACACACACACAAACACACACACACACACACACACACACACACACACACACACACACACACACACACACACACACACACACACACACACACACACACACACACCACACACACACACACACACACACACACACACACACACACACACACACACACACACACACACACAAACACTACAGGAGAGGGAACATGGTTTTCATTTTACTTTATTGACCGTCAAAGAAACAACTGACTGAGAAACAAACACTCTTTTTCTCTTCGTATTAAAAACATTTACAAATCTACACAACCAGTTTCAGTTTGACCCGCTGACTGGTCTGTGCTGTCGCCTCATGATGACGAGCAGGGAGGAGCTGCTCTTCCTCCTCCTCTTCTTCCTCACTGAGCATCCTCTTCCTCCTCCTCCTCCATGATGGCCTGCAGAGCCTCCAGTCCCTCCACAGAAACCGTCAGCGTGCCTACCTCCTCACTCCCCATGTCCAACACTGCACACCCACACGCACACGCACACACACACACACACACACCCACACACACACACACACACACACACACACACACACCACAGTTAAGGCCTCGTGACTTTTGGACATGTGGTTCTGTTTATTTAGGTATTTTCATTTGGAAATCTGCGAGAATTCTCCTCAGAGACAGTCACTGTGTCCTCTACAAAACGTCTGTGTGTGTGTGTGTGTGTGTGTGTGTGTGTGTGTGTGTGTGTGTGTGTGTGTGTGTGTGTGTGTGTGTGTGTGTGTGTGTGTGTGTGTGTGTGTGTGTGTGTGTGTGTGTGTGTGTGTGTGTGTGTGTGTGTGTGTGTACCCTGCAGCCTCCTCTCCAGCAGCTCGCTGTGTGTCTCTGTGATTTCGGGGATCCTGATGAAGGCGACCCCGACCTCCTCACACTCTCTCTCCTGCTCCTCCTCCTCCGGGGGCTCGCTCACCACCATGAACCGGATCCTACACACACACACACACACACACACACACACACACACACACACACACGCACACGCACACGCACACGCACACACACACGCACACGCACACACACACTGGTGTCCTGTCAGAGCTCTTCAGCTCGTGGACTCTCCTTGGAGATAAATGAAGTGTTTTCTCACCTCTCCATGTGGGGCAGTCTTCCCTTCAGGACCCCCCTCAGCAGGCGCCGCCTCAACCTGTGCTGCTGGGCATCCACAGGAACCACTGCAACAGGAAACACAAGCTGAACACACACTGGTGAGAGAAACTCCCTCTGAAGGGAACACAGGGATGGAAGCCCCTGCAGACCATTACCATGCACTATAGAACACACTGCAGTCAGCAGCATCAGGCCTCTTATGGCGCGTTTCCACTACAGCGCGCAGCCCGGTTTAAGAGGGCTGTGACGTCAGCGGCCCGTCTTTGGTTGCGTTTCCACTTGGCCTAGTACCGGCCGGCGGGTCCTAATTCACAGTTTTTCTGGCCTCATAAAATCGTGGGTCTAGGGCCAGAGACAACGAGGCTGAGTCGGGCTGAGTATGCTAAACTAGAGAGAGCATCGCTGGCAAGGGGGCTACAACTACAACAAGATGGACATATTTGACCGTGATTTAATTGTAATACACGTTTCAAAATGATGAAGTAACAACATACTGATACCGGTTAGTAAAAACCATGAATTAATGCTTTGTCAAGTCTGCAGACAGACGGCAGGAGAAACACCTTTTAAAATGCGTGTTTTCTAAATGGAGATCGGCTAAGCTAACGCAGTATATGCTCTGACCGTCCACACTCACAACAACGGCCTATACAGACATAAATAAAGCAGCGACTGTATTCACCATGACACAGGCAGTCTGTGGTTTGTACTTGATTAACTTCTGTCTAGTTTCTGAACAGATATGAGGAGCTGTGAGCTCTGAGTGCTAACAGCTAACGGCTGTGTTGTTTTTCTGGGGTTCTCATTGAAGATGACGTCACGGCTCCGCCTACACTGCGTTACTATAGTTACTACCCCAGTTCCTAAACTGTAATGGAAATGCGCCATAAAGTGAGCCAGTCCTAACGAGGCCCAGCCATACCGAGCGAGGCCGAGCGAGGCCGTGTAGTGGAAACGCGCCATTACATTACAGCTGTTAACGTTAGCACGGTTAGCTGTTAGCACGGTTAGCTGTTAGCAGGGCTCCCCCTCTCTCTCTGCTCTCACCCTTGCTGTAGTTGAAGTTGATGCTGCTCCCTGGGGGAGGCTTGGGGAGGGACAGCGGGGTCTCCTCTGTGGGGAGGTCCAGCAGACTGAACTCTACAAAGAGACGCTGAAGGCTGCGGTCCAAACACACCCGAGACCCCGGAGACAAGCTCAGAGACACCACCTCCACCCGCAGGCGCTCAGAGGCCTACACACACACACACACACACACACACACACACACACACACACACACACACACACACACACACACACACACACACACTAGAATACTTAGCAGCAAGATCAATGGTATAACTTTCATTTTATCGTCATTGTCTATATCAGAAAAAGACAAGACACACACACACACACACACACACACACACACACACACACTGACCTTCCTCCCCACGCTGCCCCCCCCCCACGATGCAGTCATCACTGGACTCCTCCTCTGCAGCATCTGCACAGAGGAACATCAGCTGATCAACACCTCCTCGTCAGTAACGCTGCACATCATCCCTCCTTACATACATATACAGTAAACATAAATATATAGAAGTATGTCCTGTGGTTCCTGTGTGCCTGGTGGTTCACTAAAGACCTGGACCAAACACCAGTTCCAGAGGAGAGTCATTTAGTTTATGTGTTACTGGTTACTAACAACAGTCTGACTGGCCCCAGGCCTACACACAGTCTCTCTAGACATTATTACTACTCTGAAACATCAGTCTGACTGGCCCCAGGCCTACACAGTCTCTCTAGACATTATTACTACTCTGAAACATCAGTCTGACTGGCCCCAGGCCTACACACAGTCTCTCTAGACATTATTACTACTCTGAAACATCAGTCTGACTGGCCCCAGGCCTACACACAGTCTCTCTAGACATTATTACTACTCTGAAACATCAGTCTGACTGGCCCCAGGCCTACACAGTCTCTCTAGACATTATTACTACTCTGAAACATCAGTCTGACTGGCCCCAGGCCTACACACAGTCTCTCTAGACATTATTACTACTCTGAAACATCAGTCTGACTGGCCCCAGGCCTACACAGTCTCTCTAGACATTATTACTACTCTGAAACATCAGTCTGACTGGCCCCAGGCCTACACAGTCTCTCTAGACATTATTACTACTCTGAAACATCAGTCTGACTGGCCCCAGGCCTACACACAGTCTCTCTAGACATTAATACTACTCTGAAACATCAGTCTGACTGGCCCCAGGCCTACACAGTCTCTCTAGACATTATTACTACTCTGAAACATCAGTCTGACTGGCCCCAGGCCTACACAGTCTCTCTAGACATTACTACTACTCTGAAACAACAGTCTGAAGGTGAAGCACTATCTAACGTCCCGTCATCACTTCCTCACCCTGCAGGGTCTCCTCCGACATCTCAGAGTCAGAGGAGAGAGACTGGGAGCTGACTGGGACCAGCTGACCCTCCGACACATGAGACTCCTCCTCATCCTCCTCTTCCTCCTCTTCCTCCTCTTCCTCCTCCTCTTCTTCTGCAGGTGGAGTCGCTGCTGACAAAACCTGCAGACACAGAACATATGATGGAGTTTCACAGAGACTGGTTTAAAACTATCAGCTATTGAGGAGACTCACCTGTTCTATATCAAAGGGATCTATGTCTCACCTGTTCTGTATCACAGGGATCTATGTCTCACCTGTTCTATATCAAAGGGATCTATGTCTCACCTGTTCTGTATCAGAGGGATCTATGTCTCACCTGTTCTGTATCACAGGGATCTATGTCTCACCTGTTCTGTATCACAGGGATCTATGTCTCACCTGTTCTGTATCACAGGGATCTATGTCTCACCTGTTCTATATCACAGGGATCTATGTCTCACCTGTTCTGTATCAGAGGGATCTATGTCTCACCTGTTCTGTATCAGAGGGATCTATGTCTCACCTGTTCTGTATCAGAGGGATCTATGTCTCACCTGTTCTGTATCACAGGGATCTATGTCTCACCTGTTCTGTATCACAGGGATCTATGTCTCACCTGTTCTGTATCACAGGGATCTATGTCTCACCTGTTCTGTATCAGAGGGATCTATGTCTCACCTGTTCTGTATCACAGGGATCTATGTCTCACCTGTTCTATATCAGAGGGATCTATGTCTCACCTGTTCTATATCAGAGGGATCTATGTCTCACCTGTTCTGTATCACAGGGATCTATGTCTCACCTGTTCTATATCAGAGGGATCTATGTCTCACCTGTTCTGTATCACAGGGATCTATGTCTCACCTGTTCTGTATCACAGGGATCTATGTCTCACCTGTTCTATATCAGAGGGATCTATGTCTCACCTGTTCTGTATCACAGGGATCTATGTCTCACCTGTTCTGTATCAGAGGGATCTATGTCTCACCTGTTCTATATCAGAGGGATCTATGTCTCACCTGTTCTGTATCAGAGGGATCTATGTCTCACCTGTTCTGTATCACAGGGATCTATGTCTCACCTGTTCTGTATCAGAGGGATCTATGTCTCACCTGTTCTATGTCAGAGGGATCTATGTCTCACCTGTTCTGTGTCAGAGGGATCTATGTCTCACCTGTTCTGTGTCAGAGGGATCTATGAAGGAGACCTTTTTGGCCGGTGGTCCGTCCTTTAATCGTGTCCTCAGCCTGAGTTTGGGCAGCGGGGCCTGATGGAGGAATCAGAAGTACTTTATTAGTCCCACAGCGAGGACAGGTTACAGTACAGGGGGACAGCAGGTATAAAAGTCTATATGGACAAAAGTCAAAACATGTCTTGGCTGATTGTGACTACCATGAGTCGTGTTGGGACCAATAGCCGCGTTCACACCGGAGTACTTTTCACGTTTAGTTCCGTTAGTACCCCTTATGTCGCGTTCACACCAAAAAGAGCACTTCATCTCTGGAACTTTTACCCCCATGTGTAGTGCCTGCTGAGAGATGGTACTTTCCTGGGGAAAAAAGTGCCCCAGTTCTGATTGGCTGGGCGAATTGCAAACCACGCCCCGTACAACTCTGAAATGTTTTGTAGAGCCGCCATTTTATTATCCTCGCATTAGCATTATTAGCATTAGCATTCGCCCAGCGCACAAACGCAGAGAGACTAACTTATGGCAACACAAAATAAAACATGGGAGCGGTGGAGATGAGGAGGTGTCGGCGTTCTGGCGATTTCCTCTGAAGGCTTCAGTAGAAGCTGCTGGGAGTCCCAGCAGCTTCTACTGAAGCCTTCCCCAACTCCGGGGACTTCCGGCCGGGGACTCCGGGTGGCAGTATACGCCGTGAAGTGGTTTGCGGCCTGCCAGTAAACCCAAAGCAGAAGAAGAAGAAGTGACATCATCGGCTCATTTGCGTAATCTTCCCTCAGGGAAAAGTACTCCGGTGTGAACGCGATCTGTACTAAATGCCCTGGGGTAATAAGTGCCGGGACTCTGAGTGCCGGCACTAAATACGGCAAAGTACTTGGTGTGAACGCGCCTATTGGATACAGAGAGACCTAGATGATCATTCTTTCCTCAAAGCAATAAGCAATCTGTCCAATACAGACGATCCAGGGTCGCCTAAATCTTTCAAACTCATTAGAGCAGCCCACGGAGAGGACAGATGTGGACACTTTCTGGTTACAACTGACATGTTTGATCCTGAAAATGTCAGAAATTGATTCAGCATCCTCAATAACCATAAAGCATCTTTCCAAAATTGACCAAGCCATTTTTAACTATTGTCCACATATGAACTGATGCTAACTGTATAAACATCTGCAGGTCAGCATCCAGCAGTTTCTATGAGCTGCAGACCCTACTCTATAGTTCAGAACACTTTGGGGTCTCAACGTGTCCAGGTTCACAGCAGGTCTCTCTGAGCTGCAGACCCTACTCTATAGTTCAGAACACTTTGGGGTCTCAACGTGTCCAGGTTCACAGCAGGTCTCTATGAGCTGCAGACCCTACTCTATAGTTCAGAACACTTTGGGGTCTCAACGTGTCCAGGTTCACAGCAGGTCTCTCTGAGCTGCAGACCCTACTCTATAGTTCTATCAGAACACTTTGGGGTCTCAACGTGTCCAGGTTCACAGCAGGTCTCTCTGAGCTGCAGACCCTACTCTATAGTTCTATCAGAACACTTTGGGGTCTCAACGTGTCCAGGTTCACAGCAGGTCTCTATGAGCTGCAGACCCTACTCTATAGTTCTATCAGAACACTTTGGGGTCTCAACGTGTCCAGGTTCACAGCAGGTCTCTCTGAGCTGCAGACCCTACTCTATAGTTCTATCAGAACACTTTGGGGTCTCAACGTGTCCAGGTTCACAGCAGGTCTCTATGAGCTGCAGACCCTACTCTATAGTTCTATCAGTACACTTTGGGGTCTCAACGTGTCCAGGTTCACAGCAGGTCTCTATGAGCTGCAGACCCTACTCTATAGTTCTATCAGAACACTTTGGGGTCTCAACGTGTCCAGGTTCACAGCAGGACTCTTTGAGCTGCAGACCCTACTCTATAGTTCTATCAGAACACTTTGGGGTCTCAACGTGTCCAGGTTCACAGCAGGACTCTATGAGCTGCAGACCCTACTCTATAGTTCTATCAGAACACTTTGGGGTCTCAACGTGTCCAGGTTCACAGCAGGTCTCTCTGAGCTGCAGACCCTACTCTATAGTTCTATCAGAACACTTTGGGGTCTCAACGTGTCCAGGTTCACAGCAGGACTCTCTGAGCTGCAGACCCTACTCTATAGTTCTATCAGAACACTTTGGGGTCTCAACGTGTCCAGGTTCACAGCAGGTCTCTCTGAGCTGCAGACCCTACTCTATAGTTCAGAACACTTTGGGGTCTCAACGTGTCCTGGTTCACAGCAGGTCTCTATGAGCTGCAGACCCTACTCTATAGTTCAGAACACTTTGGGGTCTCAACGTGTCCAGGTTCACAGCAGGTCTCTCTGAGCTGCAGACCCTACTCTATAGTTCAGAACACTTTGGGGTCTCAACGTGTCCTGGTTCACAGCAGGTCTCTATGAGCTGCAGACCCTACTCTATAGTTCAGAACACTTTGGGGGTCTCAACGTGTCCAGGTTCACAGCAGGTCTCTCTGAGCTGCAGACCCTACTCTATAGTTCAGAACACTTTGGGGTCTCAACGTGTCCAGGTTCACAGCAGGTCTCTCTGAGCTGCAGACCCTACTCTATAGTTCAGAACACTTTGGGGTCTCAACGTGTCCAGGTTCACAGCAAGTCTCTATGAGCTGCAGACCCTACTCTATAGTTCAGAACACTTTGGGGTCTCAACGTGTCCAGGTTCACAGCAGGTCTCTCTGAGCTGCAGACCCTACTCTATAGTTCAGAACACTTTGGGGTCTCAACGTGTCCAGGTTCACAGCAAGTCTCTATGAGCTGCAGACCCTACTCTATAGTTCTATCAGAACACTTTGGGGTCTCAACGTGTCCAGGTTCACAGCAGGTCTCTCTGAGCTGCAGACCCTACTCTATAGTTCTATCAGAACACTTTGGGGTCTCAACGTGTCCAGGTTCACAGCAGGTCTCTATGAGCTGCAGACCCTACTCTATAGTTCTATCAGAACACTTTGGGGTCTCAACGTGTCCAGGTTCACAGCAGGTCTCTCTGAGCTGCAGACCCTACTCTATAGTTCTATCAGAACACTTTGGGGTCTCAACGTGTCCAGGTTCACAGCAGGTCTCTATGAGCTGCAGACCCTACTCTATAGTTCTATCAGAACACTTTGGGGTCTCAACGTGTCCAGGTTCACAGCAGGACTCTATGAGCTGCAGACCCTACTCTATAGTTCTATCAGAACACTTTGGGGTCTCAACGTGTCCAGGTTCACAGCAGGTCTCTCTGAGCTGCAGACCCTACTCTATAGTTCTATCAGAACACTTTGGGGTCTCAACGTGTCCAGGTTCACAGCAGGTCTCTATGAGCTGCAGACCCTACTCTATAGTTCTATCAGAACACTTTGGGGTCTCAACGTGTCCAGGTTCACAGCAGGTCTCTATGAGCTGCAGACCCTACTCTATAGTTCTATCAGAACACTTGGGGTCTCAACGTGTCCAGGTTCACAGCAGGTCTCTATGAGCTGCAGACCCTACTCTATAGTTCTATCAGAACACTTTGGGGTCTCAACGTGTCCAGGTTCACAGCAGGTCTCTCTGAGCTGCAGACCCTACTCTATAGTTCTATCAGAACACTTTGGGGTCTCAACGTGTCCAGGTTCACAGCAGGACTCTTTGAGCTGCAGACAGACAATAATATAAACGAGAGATTTGATCTCTCTGCTGACCTTAGACGCATAGACCTTTGGGAGGGGGATGGGGGAGGGGGGAGGAAGTTTCTCCTCCTCCTGCAGAGCCTTTTCCACGTCTCCAACTTCCTCCTCTTCCTCTGGAGGTCTGCTCTCTGGAGGAGGTCTGAGCTCTGGAGGAGGTCTGCTCTCTGGAGGAGGTCTGCTCTCTGGAGGAGGTCTGCTCTCTGGAGGAGGTCTGCTCTCTGGTGGAGGAAGGTAGGAGGAGCTCCACTGCAGCGTCACCTCGATATGTCCGGAGGGGAGACCAGAGGGGTCTCTCAGCTCAAACAGCCCTGAGGACAAACACAAGCTCACTTTAGCATCAGAGTTCTCTTAATCTGTGGTCACAGTTAGTGTTAGCCACGTTAGCATCAGAGTTCTCTTTAACTAAGAGCAGAAAGTGAGTTCTGACCGGAGACCCCCTGGTCCCGGCTCAGGGGCAGCAGAGGGACCCGGGTCTTCCCCAGGTAGGTGTCCATGCGCTGCTCGTTGTAGTCGAACACGTAGAGCAGCAGCTCCTTGCTCTGCAGGTAGCGGTGCAGCTCGGCGTCCATCAGCACAGGGAAGAGCCTCCGGTCCTCCAGGCGGGGGCTCCAGCAGGGGGGGGCCGTGGCCGTGGGGTGGTCCAGGAACTCGTAGAACTTGTAGACCACGTACGGGCTGGGCGGGGAGGAGCTGGAGCTCTGCAGGTCCGTGCAGCGCTGCACCGCCACGCACAGCTCGTTCCTCTGCAGAGAGACAACGTTTAGAGAGGGACAGACAAACTGTACGGCTTTAGAGAGGAACGGTGGGGGGGGGTATGAAAAACAAATTTTTTTGACTTTTCTCAAAATTCTGACTTTTTTCTGAAAATCTAAAAATTCTGACTTTCTTCTAATTATCCCAACATTCTGACTTCTTCCTCAAAATTCTGACCTTTTTCGGAAAATCTCAAAATTCAGACTTTTTTTCGATGGAGGTACCTGGGGGTCTGAGCAGTATGAAGGTACCTGGGGGTCTGAGCAGTATGGAGGTGCCTGGGGGTCTGAGCAGTATGGAGGTACCTGGGGGTCTGAGCAGTATGAAGGTACCTGGGGGTCTGAGCAGTATGGAGGTACCTGGGGGTCTGAGCAGTATGGAGGTGCCTGGGGGTCTGAGCAGTATGGAGGTACCTGGGGGTCTGAGCAGTATGGAGGTGCCTGGGGGTCTGAGCAGTATGGAGGTACCTGGGGGTCTGAGCAGTATGGAGGTGCCTGGGGGTCTGAGCAGTATGGAGGTACCTGGGGGTCTGAGCAGTATGGAGGTACCTGGGGGTCTGAGCAGTATGGAGGTACCTGGGGGTCTGAGCAGTATGGAGGTACCTGGGGGTCTGAGCAGTATGGAGGTACCTGGGGGTCTGAGCAGTATGGAGGTACCTGGGGGTCTGAGCAGTATGGAGGTACCTGGGGGTCTGAGCAGTATGGAGGTACCTGGGGGTCTGAGCAGTATGGAGGTACCTGGGGGTCTGAGCAGTATGGAGGTACCTGGGGGTCTGAGCAGTATGGAGGTACCTGGGGGTCTGAGCAGTATGGAGGTACCTGGGGGTCTGAGCAGTATGGAGGTACCTGGGGGTCTGAGCAGTATGGAGGTACCTGGGGGTCTGAGCAGTATGGAGGTACCTGGGGGTCTGAGCAGTATGGAGGTGCCTGGGGGTCTGAGCAGTATGAAGGTACCTGGGGGTCTGAGCAGTATGGAGGTACCTGGGGGTCTGAGCAGTATGGAGGTACCTGGGGGTCTGAGCAGTATGGAGTTACCTGGGGTCTGAGCAGTATGGAGGTACCTGGGGGTCTGAGCAGTATGGAGGTACCTGGGGGTCTGAGCAGTATGGAGGTACCTGGGGGTCTGAGTAGTATGGAGGTACCTGGGGGTCTGAGCAGTATGGAGGTGCCTGGGGGTCTGAGCAGTATGGAGGTACCTGGGGGTCTGAGCAGTATGGAGGTACCTGGGGGTCTGAGTAGTATGGAGGTACCTGGGGGTCTGAGCAGTATGGAGGTACCTGGGGGTCTGAGCTGTATGAAGGTACCTGGGGGTCTGAGCAGTATGAAGGTAACTGGGGGTCAGGGGCCTCATTTATAACGCCTTGCGTAGGATTCACGTGGGAAGGTTGCTTACGTAGTACAAAGCAAAAAAATAGGTACAGACATTTTCCGACATTTTCCGATTCACAAAACATTGCGTACCGGCGAGGGAAGTGCGTACGGCACTTCCTACGCCTGTTTCCCTTTATAAATCACAATCGACTCGTAACGCCCATATTTGCCTATAAATAGTCAAAGAAACGCCCATTCATCCATTCATCCATCCATTCATC